CAAGATAACGATCCAAAGCATCGTTCAATGCATTCAAGAGAATATTGCAGAGATAAGAAGATTATTGTGCTAAGCTGGCCATCCCAATCACCAGATATGAATCCAATAGAACATCTCTGGACTCACCTGAAAACAAGAATAAGGGAAAGACAGTCAAAAAACATTGATGAATTAAAAAGGATAACGCATGAAGAATGGGACAGGATTGATCCGGATTTCTGCAAAGAGTTGGTCGAAAGTATGCCAGATCGAGCTGAAGCACTTTATAAAGCAAAGAGCGGGCATACAAGGTATTAATTAAACAATATGCATTTTTTTTGTCCACTTTGATTTTTATAAACCGTTCAATATACTACCTAATTTCTTTATACCTTAAAGTAAGTATATTTTTAAATATAAAATGAGAAAAAAACCAATTTATTTTTTAACCTTTTAAAATTAATAAATATTATCTTGCTAAATGCCATTTTTTTTATTATGCGTTTTTTTTTGTCCACTAGTGTATATGTTAGCTAAAAATTAATTAATAATGATATATACATATTTAACAATTTTATAACAATTTTTTATTCCATTATGTAGGAAGACTAACCATGGAACATAAACGAAAAAAATTATCTGGTTCCGCCAACCGTAAATTAAAAGAAGAGAAAGAGGCGAGGCAAAAAGCTCTCTTGGAAAAAATGCCTACATTAACAAATTTCTTTAAAAAAGGCGAAACACTTTCTATGGATATTACAGAGGATGAGCAACACAAAGAGGGAAAAGAAAAAAATCAACAACAGTATGACAATAATGCCCAGCAATCAAATGTGAAAGAAAAAGAAGAGGACCAGAAACAACAAAACATGGAATAGCCACAGCCAGAAGATCAAGAAAGAGAATATTTAGATGAAGATGAACTTAGTAATATGTTGAGTGTTAATTATACTGATCCAGCATTATGGGGAAGATTAAGCGAAGACAAAATTATAGATATAATGAAGAACATATCTAACGTAGAGGTAGATATTCAAGAACTAGACTTTTCTGCATCTAAAGTGGTCTACAAATCACAGAGCAGGTGTGCTACAAAAATGATATTTTATAGACATTTACAAAACGGAAAACAACAAAAAAGAAACTGGCTTTTATACTCAATTACTTCAGGAAAAGTATACTGCATCCCTTGCAAACTGTTTGGTAGTGCCAATAATCCATTTAGTGCAGGTTTTAACGATTGGAAACACAGTGAAAAAATTTCGGACCATGAAAATTCAGTCCTTCATAAAGAAAACACCCGTATAATTGTGAACAGATCTACAGAAAAATGGGAATATTTCAAAAATTATTCTATTATATCAATGGAAAAAAATACGAATTACTGGAAAAATATTTTAGAACGTATCATCGAAGTCATAAAATTTTTAAGTTCAAGGGGTTTGGCTTTTATGGGAGAAAATCAAACTATTGGTGATAAACATAATGGGAATTATTTAGGGTGCTTAGAACTTTTAGCAAAATTTGACCCTATTTTGCAACAACATATATTTAATTTTGCAATAAAGGTACTGGGAATATTTCTTATTTATCTGCAAATATTTGTGATGAGTTTCTAAAAATATTGGGCAGAAATGTTAGATGTTTTATTATCACGGAACTAAAAGAGGCAAAATATTACTCTATTATAGTAGATTCGACGCCCGATATTTCCCATATGGATTAATTAACCATTGTCGTAAGATATGTCAATAAAAATGGAACACCCGTTGAAAGGTTTTTAAAATTTTTGGAGAATACTGGCCATAAGAGCTCAGAAATGCAAGACTGTATTTTAAAGCTATTATCTGATTTAGATATTAGTTTGGAAGATCGTAGAGGACAATCTTATGATAATGCCTCTAATATGTCGGGTATATATAACGGCCTCCAAGCACGCATTAAATTTAAAAACTAGAAATAATCTTGCCATTTACGTGCCCTGTGCGGCACATTCTTTAAATTTAATTGGACATTCGGCAGCTGAATGCTGCATACAAGCAACTAAATTGTTTTTGTTTCTACAAAACTTATACAATTTCTTTGCCGCATCAACATCAAGATGGGAAATTTTAAAAAATACGCTAACAGCAAAAAATAAAGTTCCCAAAAAATTAAGCGACACTCGTTGGTCAGCAAGAGCTGATTCAGTGAAAGTAGTGGTTTCCGGCTATGAAAATTTTAAAAATGCTTTAACTAAACTTTACGAAGATAATTTTCAAAAGCCTGCAACAAAAGTTGAAGCCCAGGGGTTGTTAAATGAGTTCAACTCATTGGAAACTGCTATTATGATAGCATTTTGAGTGAAATATTGGAAACCATCGATAAAACTAATATATCGCTTCAAAAAGTTGATATTACAATTGAATGCATTGTTTCATTATATGCTTCTTTAGAAAAATTTGTACCATCGAAACGAAATATAGATTCGTTTAACCTTTACAAATCAGAAGGTATAAAATTATCTGGCTGTTATGAATACAAACGGTTACGGAAAAGAAAAAGACAGTTCGACGAAAATACGTCGGAAGAAGTGCAACTTGATGCAAATGAAGAATTCCGCATAAAAACATATTATGCTATTATTGATAAAATTCTAGCAGAAGTACAAAAGAGAAAATGTGCATATGTTGACATTTATTCAACATTTGGGTTTCTAGTTAATTTAAAAAATATAATGAAGACATAATTAGAAATAATGCTGCAAAGTTGTGCGAAATATATCAGAATGATTTAGAAAACAACTTTATTGAAGAATGCCTACATTTTAAACATGTGAATTTATTGGAAAATACCGAAAATATATCTATCGCAGAACTAAGTTTAAAGACAATAATCGAGTTAAAAATTGAATCTACATTTCCAAACGTAACCACAGCACTGCGCATATTTTTAAGTATTGCCACAACAAACTGCAGTGGCGAAAGATCATTTTCAGCAATCAAAAGAATAAAAAATTACTTACGATCTTCTTTGGGACAGAGTAAACTCAATGATTTAAGTATTTTGTCTATTGAAAGAGATTTATTTGAAAATTTAAATACTAGTGATAATATTGATTAGTTTGCCAAAGAAAAAGCTAGGAAAGTAAATATATAAGTTACATTTGTTTAGATTAAGGTGTGTTTTTGTTCTTAAATGGTTTTTTTTATTTAATTAAATTTTATTTTTGTTTATGTTATGCACTGATGGAGAATCATATAATAGTTCCGATCAAGTTCTAAGGATTAGACTAAAAACTGATCGGAACTATCATTATTGAGATAATCCCCTCAAATCTGGGTAAACATTTATACCCATCTTTTAAATAAGTGACTTTAAAGAAAAGTTGCAATAAAGATAACAGTTTATTATAAAAGTAATAACTAGTTTTTTTCTAGTTCTGACACTTTTGTTTTGTATAACTTTTCCGACTCCCATTTGCCATTCTGTGTATTTTCTTAGGAAGAAGGGCGCATTATTTTTAGTAGCCCATGGGCGCCGAATTCCTTAAGACGGCCCTGTGTACAGAATATCTTTGTACAGAATATCATTTTTATCTCCAGCACTGGAGTCTGTTTATCTGAAGTTCTAAAGATATGCAGTTTTTAAATATTTTTAGCTCAAAGGGGGCACTAGCCCAAATGCTCTTGAAATGCGCATGTGCGTGTAAATGAAAAAATGCCCCTTTGGACATAATATAAAGTTTGAAAGCTTTCAGATTTTTTTCCCCCCCCCCCCCAAAAAAATTATTTTCTATTTATTCAGCAAGAAAGGATTCTACAAAGGATTTAAATATGTACACAAGCAAATTCTTAACTATTACTGAGTTAGTACAGTTGCACAAAGGAACATGCTTCATTGTTACAAGCATTTGCAAGATGTGATTTGCAAAGATGGACTGATTTCAAAATTTAAATATGGTTTGCATTTTTTGGAATAAAACTAGATCAAAATAACAGACTAAATTTAATTTTTGATACACGTGGCTTCTTTTAGACAAGGAACTGAATTTACAGTTATTTATTATGGCCTCATATTTAAATGAAAATGTATCATTCTACATAACTTAATCATTTATTCAGAATATAATGTAATAGATTATATTTTATTTATTTATGTATTACATATGCATATTAAATATGCTTTTCCCAAATTATTAATATTGGCCACAGTTATCAAGAACAAACATTTAAAAATTTGAAGTTGTGTACTAAAAATACATTTTTAATACTTTGGGTAGGCCTGTCTTAATGAAAACTTTGCTTCACTTTTACAAGCATCTCAGATAATCCCCAGGTACAGTGAGCTCACATATAAAGTCACAACTAGCATATACATTTTAGGAAGTCTTTCACAGTAAATAAATACTGTTGTTTTGCATATACAGTGGTTAAAACCACATGGATATTATAAACACTAAAACTTTACTCAGACATAACGTTTTTTATATTTATTACTAATAATTTTAATGTTAATAATTTGTTTATTTATTTAACAACATCATATTCCATTTAATTGCTCCTATTTAAATTAGACATTTTTATTTTTATCAATTTATTTGCTAGTCTCTTTCAAGGTTACTTGCAATTAATTGCACGAGTTCCTGCGTTTAGTCTGCATACTATGTCTAACATTTTCCAATAAATTTTTAGCAAAACGATGATGATTAATAAAAGTCTTCTTTTTCTTTTCTTTAGTATATTTAGTTCATATACAACAGTTAAAATGTCCCTTTTCATTTTTTCCATCACTAGCGAAACAGTGATTGCTTTAACAGTTTATCGTAATGTTTTTCCTTCATTTACATTCATTTAACTTTTCAAGTTTATTAAAAGCATTTCCACATGAATATTTTGGTTATAATAATATCAAAATAAATTTTTATCTGTTGAAGTTGTGTGTTTCCCACAATCAAATAAACTTTATTCAATTACTAGTTTCCCATATATTTCTGCATAAGAATTCAAAATCCTTATTATTTTCAATTAAATATTAGTTACCCTTCAACTTGAATACCCTGATCTTCATCCTCCTCCTCTTCATCTTCCTCTTCCTCTTCATCTTCACTGTTCTGATCTACATCATCAAGATCATCTTTTCCTAATGCTCGAACCCGAGCTGATGGAGCTGGGCGTGAAACAGAATGAGATAGTGGTCGTGGTATCCCAGAAATACCTGTAAGCTTTGTGATATAAAATAATAAATGAAACTTAAAGTTTGAGAAAAAGATACATACAAATAGATAATATTGTATCAAATCAATAAAAGGTATTCATAAATTAGTTGGCACCTTATTATAAAGCATTCGTGAACTCGGTAGTAACTTTTCAGAGAAACGAGGTACACAATAGGATACCCTTTTTCAAGATTCAAAATTTTTGTGAAGTTAATGCACAGACAAAAGCCTTCTTCAAAATGGTAATGCACAAAGAAGTCCATAAAACAGCAATCAGTCACTAAATAATAATAATAATAATAATAATAATAATAATAAAAAGCAACAAACATTGGTAATAAATATTTACCATTTTCAAGAAAGAATGTCATAATTTTTTGTGCTGTTGTCCTCCCGATCAACAGAATGATATGTTTTTATTAAAAAAACACAAAAAAAAAAAAAAAAAAAAAAAAAAAAAAAAAAACAGAACAAACTCAGCATTGCGCACCATTTGAAACAGACACAAGCTATACACAGATCTAGTTTACCATACTTTTTGGCAACATTGTGGGTTGCACATAATTATTTAGATGGTATACTGTATTGCCTCATGAATATTTTTAAGTACTCATCTATTATCAGGACCAGATTCAGGAGTGTATGTATGTATGCCCATATATATATGTGCAAATGTATATGCACAATATGTATATATGCATGTGCATATACACCGAAGAGCCATTACATTATGACCACCCTGTATCTATAACAATGAGCTCACCCAGGAATAAACCCACTGCATGTGAGTGGCTGATGCTGGCATATATAAAGCGGTTATGCATTGTCTTTCCAAATATAGCACGGTTAGCAACATAATGGGAAAAGCAGATGATTTATCAGACTTCGATAATCTTATCTTGTTATGGTTTAGTTATGGTTAAGATCTTAACTTGTTATGGTTTAGTGACTGGGAACATCAATATCAGAAGCAGCAACTGGGCTGTTCATGAGCAGTTGTTGTGAGCACATATCGAAAGTGGTATCAGTATCAGTAGCGGGCGCAGCCCGACCCGCCTAACCAAACAAGTTGGTCTTATGGTCATGACAGGCTATGCCCACTTCAACAAATGAAAAAATGAAACATAAAATATCTAAATGAGAATAATCATGTGTAAATAATAAGTATAAGCATAAAAGTGAAGAAAAGGAACAAATACAAACATTTAGACAAGAGCAGACACTAAAGACAAAAACAAAAAAGCGAATAATAAACACAAACAATGGTAACAACAATTTATTAAAATATACCAATTAGTGATGGCAATAAAATACAAATATCATACACTGATTCCCACTGCCCGGCGCTCACCGTCAATAAATTTCATCACAGATTTACATAATTGTGCAAAATCTTTATAGCATAAAAAGGGATTTTCAAAATCAATATTTTTATTGTTTCTTAAGCCATCAAAGTAGGGACAGACCTCGAGGAAATGCTTAGCATCACCAAACAGATCACATACACTGGTGTGTAAAAATTAAGGACGAGACGGATTTTTCAATATAACTTTGTACAAAAGCTTTCCAAATCAACACATTTAATACCGTAAGATCCCCAATACGTAAGGACATGAGTAATGTAAGCAACACTTACTAAAAGAGAAATCAGAGGGATAAAAAGAAGCTTTATTGAAAAAGTAGCATGGAGCGCAATGCGACTGAAGGCCGAAACATCCCTGTGATGGGTGTCCAGCAAGAAACATTCGGTCTTTAATAGGGGATATGATCTCCCCTGACTGCCAGGCAGATTTCACAGCGTCTGCCCATGCTGAGAATGAGGGTGTCAATGAGTTGTCGAGGCATTGCTGTCCATTCGTCTTGCAGCGCCAATCGAAGCTCCGGAATCGTTACTGGTGGTAAGGTACGAGCTGCCAAGCGTCTGCCTAGAAAATCCCATACATGCTCGATGGCATTGAGATCCGGAGATCGTGCCGGCCAATCCATACGTTCAATATCCTCACTCTCTAAGAGCTGTTCGGAAGCTACTGTGCGATGACATGGTGCATTGTCGTCTATGAAAAGGAACTGCAGACCCATAGCGCCTCTAAAAAGACGCACATATGGAAGAAGAATCTCGTTACAATAACGGGTCCCGTTGATTGAACCTGCGTCGAAGATGTGAAGGTCTGTACGACTACCAAGCATGATGCCTCCCCAAACGAGAACACCGCCACCTCCATACCTGTCCCTTTCAATGATGTTCGAGGGATGATTGCGGCTTCCCCGCTCTCTCCAGATGAGTATGCGATGAGAATCGCTACTCAGACTGAATCTGCTCTCACCTGTAAAGAGCCCCCATTCATTGTCTCTCCAATTCCGGTGTTCCCGGCACCACAGAGAACGCCTTCTCCGATGGGCAGGCGTTAGAGGTACACACCGTACAGGGCGTCGTGCAAACAGACCACCACCGTGCAGTCTTCTGGCCACGGTAAAACGCGATATCGGTCGTCCAGTCGCCTGTGTCGTGTGTCTAGTGATTTCTCCCGCTGTCTGCCGCCTGTTTCTTCTGGCCTGTAAGGCAATATACCGGTCATCTGCGGGTGTGGTTCCTCGTGGACGACCACTACTAAACCCCTGGATAGCTGTTCCTGTAGTTTGAAATTGTCTCCGAAGTCGTGAAACGATGCTGTGAGCAATTCCGAACTTTGCAGCCACACTTGTCACACTGCGGCCTTCCTCCAACTTCCCAATGATTCGACCTCGGGTAAAAGGATCCAAATGTCGTCTAACAGATTGATTATTCGTCATTTCTCGCTGAGGCAGCAACTCGGTGTGATTTTAACTGCTATACGGCGTGCAATCTCTTTGCCAAAAATACTGATCTTACACCGACAACATGCTTTATACTACTCAGACACTCCCCATTACGTCTACCTGCATATCTGCGCATGTGCTACCGTACATCACCTTACTTAATCTCCTGATTGGTCTTTCTGTCCGCTCTGCCTCTTCGTTCAGCTGATATGCTAATTTTTCGATTTCGTCCTTAATTTTTGCACACCAGTGTAGTTTACATTTATCGTCGTTCTGTATCTTAAACCTAGCGAAGTATCCTGGGAAACACCCATGTCCGGTCAGAAACTGGTTAACTTCAAAATCATTAAAGATATTTTTTTTTTTCCTAATCAGTTCTAAATGTTTCAAATAGCGACTTTTCCTTTTAGAAGAATTCCATTGTAATTGCCATTGCTTAAAATAAAACGAATAAATAACTTTAGTTGCTATTTTTTTTTAACCCTGAACATAAGGCGTTCCCGAAACACTCCCTATGGCCGCCTCTTTTGCGAGCACATCCGCTCTCTCATTACCGTATATCGAAAGTGGTGTATGGATGGTGAAAAAACAAGTCACCGGCCAGCAGTGTGCCGTAGACAACACACTGATTTCAGAGGAGAGCAGAGATAGCTACGCATTGTTCGCCATGACCGCAGAGCTACAACAGCAAAAATCATCCCCAGCTATAACTGTGGTGGCTCAGACAGTATTTCTGAACACACTGAGCAGCTTACATTGCTGCGTATGGGCCTACGCAGATGGATGCCAAAGCATGTCTCTGCATTGACGGCCTGTCATCACCAGCTGCATCTGCAGTGGGCCAAGAAACATTGGAATTGGACATTAGAAGAATGGAAGAAAGTTGCATGGTGTGACAAATCACATTTTCTGCTCCATCACATCGATGGGCGTGTGCTAATATGCCAATTTTCAAATGAAACCCTGCTCCCGGATGCACAGTTGGACGGAGACAAGCCGGTGGCAGGGTATTATGGTATGGGTAATGTTTTAATGGAGCACATTAGATCCCATAATCCCCATAGAACAATAAATGATATCTGTGCAATATGTGAACATCGTTGCAGATGAGATTCACCCATTCATGGCAAGAGTATTTCCGGCGGAGGATGGTTTTTACCGGCAGGATAATGCATCATGTAATAAGAATCGAATCATCAGGGAGTGGTTAGAGGAACATTCCAGTGACTTTGAAGTTATGTCTTTACCTCCAAATTCACCTGATAGAGCATTTACGGTTCCACTTGGGAAACCAAATTCATGCTGTCATACTATCCCTTCACAATGAGCGGGAACTGTGTTGGTAAATGCTTGGTATCAGATAGCTCAAACTACCTATTAATACCATGCCAGGTGTTGGCAGTTTTAAGGGCTAAAGGTGGTCCTACATGTTATTAACAGGGTGGGCAAAATGTAGAGGCCCATTAGCGTATATGTGTATACACACACAGATACATATGTACACTGCTCAAAAATAAATAAATAAATAAAATGGCCCAGCAGAACGGGAGATATAGATAAATCTATATCTCCCGTTCTGCTGGGCCGATTGACAAAATTCAAATTGCGTTCTTCATGTCTCGAAAGCGCGACTTAGGATATATATTAGATTTATATATAGCACTATTCTAACATAGGTGTTTTGACACAAAATCGGACTTTTCCTGAAATAACATACCAATTTTTTTACATATTTCGATTCTACAACTCAAATTACGCCTAAATATGAAATTTTGTAACGGAGAAATTCACAAATTTTTGTTGGCACTTTTTTTTTCAGTTTGCGCCAAGAATAGTTCACTTGGTGAACTTCTTAATATATGACAACCTAGTTTCCTTTCCCGTGAGAGGAAAAATAGTCACCATCGTTCCTTTTTGCCAAATAATATTCTTTATATTATATTTTTAATTATAACTGTTATTATTTTAAGTAATTTTTTCTTTTTCGAATTTCATTTTAATTGTTTAAGTTGCATGGTTTTTTTCGAATGACTGTTTTAAAAATTTCTATTTACCTATTCGAACTGCGCAAATAAAGGTGCAGCATTTATTTTTTTTTCAAACAGTTTTCTTTATATATATTTTTTGTCATAGTTATTATTTTAGGTAATTTTTAAATTTTTATACTTTTATTTTAATTGTTTGTGTTGCATTGTCTCTTCAGATAATTGTTTTAAAATTTTCTATTTATTCCTTCGAACTGAGCATTTTAAATATATTTATTAATATAAATTTTCCAGAATTTGATTTTATTTATTTGAATTGCGTTTCTTTCGGAAGAATACTTTGCAACCCAGACTACGATGCTTTTGGAAACTGCATATATTAAAAGAGAAAATACAGTAAAGCACAGTTAACACGTCTTTCAATGTTCCGTTCAGAAAAGATATATATAAATATGAGAGATGTATAACCGACATTTTAACTTAGGATGACTTGCATACA